CTATAGCTCAACGAATTCTTTTTTCATTCCAAGGGTCTTGATTTCACGCCTTTAATGTCAGATTAAGATAAATGAATACAAAACATGGAATGTTTCCAAGGGTAAAGGCTTCTTCTTATTATTGTCTGATTGCACCTTCCAAGCTCTAATTACCAACATAAATATTTTCTCTGCTTCACGAGCCTCATGCTTTCAGAACTGAGGCACTTCTGCTTTGAGTCCAGAGGCTTCTAAAGAAATTCTGCAGCAAAGAAACATTTACGTCCCATTATGTCTTGGTTGTTTCTTCAGATATATAATATTCTTTTTAAGAATCAAAGCAAAGCAAAACTTGATAGAAAAAAAAGGTGGGGTGAAAAAGGACCGGCACAGAATGCACAGGTAGTCCTCAACTTACGACCATTATTGAGTCTAAAATTTGTGTTGTTAAGTGAGAAACTTCTTAAGTGAGTTTTGCCCCATTTTGCAACTTTTCTCACCACATTTGTTAATGTGAGCCACGTGTCAAGCATCTGTATGTAAATCACATGACCATGGGGAAGCTGCAATGGTCATCACTGTGAAAAATAGTCATAAGTCACTTTTTTAAATGCCCTTGTAACTTTGAACGATCATTAAATGAACTGTTGTAAGTCGAGGACTACATGCATACATCAATACAGTACAAAATCTGAAGCATCTGGGATTTCCAATATTTAATCATACCTTACGATTCAACATTGCCCACATTATAGAGTCTAACGTTCCATTTGCAATAAGATAATGGATATTCACAGAGTTACTCTGTCCTATCCGATGAGCTCTGTCTTCTGCTTGTTTTATATGGCCAGGGTCCCAATACAGTTCAGCAAAAACAACATGAGTGGCAGCGGTGAAGGTTAAACCCTAAACATAATGAAGAAATTAATACTTATATCATTTCTTAAACAGGGAGCAATCAATGCCTTTTGTAAGCTTACAGTCTCTTATAGAAATTTTGGGAAACATTTAGGTTGAAACTAGAGAACATCATTCTCCTTTATCTTGGCTCAAAAATTGTTTGCTTTCTATGTAAAAATTCACTCAAAAGACCTAACAAGTTGGAGCAAAAGGCATTTACAGTTGGAACTCTGGTCTGACATCTCATTCTGTCTCTCCATTAACTGAAATAGCATTGCTAATTCTCCCCCCTCAATAACAAAGCTCTTATCTCTGTAGCTCTTTCCTAAATATCTCATAAGAACTGCATTATATAGACAAACATACATCATTCATAAATGATATGCTCCTATGTATTTTGCAAATAACATTAATTTCTGGATCAGCTCTATATCATGTTGTTGGTTTGAGCTCCGAGCTTGGCAATTTGGTTGCAAACATTTCATCCCCATTCAAGGAGACGTCTTCAGTGCATACAAAAGACGCACACCACCCTGCAAAACAAGCTATCAACACTCATGGCTAACAACCCCCACAACAATGAACAAGCCTGGTGTTCTGATCTAGGCTTCACCAAATCACGAAGCAGACTCTGTCCAGACAAAACCCCTTTTTATTAAGCTAATGTGAATTCCTCTCATTCACATCCAGCAAAGTCCTGGCAAACAGTCTTTCAAGGGTGAATTTACAACCATAGCCCTTATCAGGCTTGGAGAGCTGCCAGGCCGATATCTTCCAAACGCAATGCTGTACAAGAAAATACTTGGGAAGGAGTCTGTGAGAGTCACGAACAAATCTTCACATTAATCAAGCAAACTAATTGTCTCCTCCAAATGCATTCCCCTTTCATTCCTCTTTATTCCCTAGGGGAGAAGCCATTCACTGTCCACCTGTGCCTTTACTCCCGAGTCAGCCCTTGTTCCTTAACTGTTCCCTTCTCCTGGCAGCTCTGTGCATGCGCACATCGAGAACAGGCTCCAGCTGTTCTTCTGCTCCACTGATCTCCGACTCCGAAGGCAGCTGATAATTTTTGAATAGCCCTAGCCCCATCTCTGCTTCTGATGCAGAGCACTCATCAGAGCCTTCCCCAGACATCAGGACTGGTCCATGTTCCTCCCCAACCTCCTCACTGTCTGAGTCTGCCACCAGCTCTGCTGGCGGCCACAACACCTGGATCAAGAACCTATCCAATTGACAGTGCACTGAAGATGTCTCCTCAAATTGGGACAAAAGGTTTGCAACCAAATTGCCAAGCTCAAAGCTCAAACCAACAAAATAACTACCAACCTGAGCTACTAATATTCAAAGATACATTATAGGATTGACAAAAACCTATTAACTGGAATAAAACAAGGGAAAAGTAAGGAAAAGATGTGAAGCACTTCAGCTAAATTCTTTAAAATAATTTAAGTTCAGGAAAAACTTATTCTCTAATAGTAGAAAAATAAATGGTTAAATCTGTAGAGATACATATGAACAAAAGTAGGTGACAATGCAAACATATTCTAATAGCTGGGCTCCACACTATAATTTGTCAATATGTTTGAATTTTTGGTATGATAGCATCCCTACATGAAATTGTAGTTCTTTTTTGGGGAAGTGCTGATTGGTTCCACAATCATTTGGCTTTATTTTAGCCTCCCCAAATGGAGGCAACAGCAGTTATCTGGTTATTAGTGATTAAATTTCAGAAGCTGTTACTTTAGTCTTACTATATATAATACGTAGTAAAAAAAAGTTAAAGAATTTTTGCACACATTTTGCAATGTGTTAATTTTGACACCTGTCATTTCCTAAGCCGATACATCACTTTTGGAATTTGCTTAAAAAGAAATTGAGTTAGAAATTCTGGATCCTGAATTTTCCTTCTGCAATTTGAATTGTTCCTACTTATTCAGGACCATTTTGACCAGCTAAGGTTTAGATTAACAGAAAAAAAAAATAAAGGAGATTTTGAGTTCTCCTTTTCTTTATACTCCACTCAACTCCATTGTGTACCTGGCAAACATCGTCTTCTTTCTGGCTGTGAGCATGCTATGTATAGAAATCCGGGTATGGAATTTATTCAGCCTAAAAGCTTTTAAACTATCTTCCCATAGAACTGGATTTGAAAATGATTTTACCAGTGTTCTATATCAGGGAACAATTTTAAGGTACATTTAAGCAATAGACTTAATAAGTTTAAATCTATGCAAATACATTAGGAAATATAAGCCTACTATCCTAAAACTAAAGGATGGGGCTTTATTGTATTTGCTTCTTGGAAGTACATTGATAGGCATAATAATGACTAACAGATATGCTGCACAACGGTCAATTAAGAAGAATTAATTCACAATCTATACAAGCAGTTTTACTTAGACAGGTGCTTGCAGATGTGGTGCAGTCCTTGTGATGTTCTATCAGTTTGCAGAAACAGTTTTTATCTTCAAGCTTTTGCTTTATATTTGAAGAAACAGAAGGTGTGCAGGTAGAGAGGGGGAGAGGGAGGGAGGGAGGGGGAGAGAGAGAGAGAGAGAGAGGGAGAGGGAGAGGGAGAGGGAGAATGAATTAGTTTGACGTCATTACCTGGCCAGCAGCCTGAATGCTTAAAACAGCCACTCTGGTATCTGGGTCTTTTTGGAACTGATTTACAAGATTTATTCGTTCTGCTGAAGGTACACTGCCATCAATCCGAATATAACGAACCTGTGCCATATAAAGTAACACAAACGGTCACCTGAAGATAAGTTGGAGAGAATCCTTGGGTTTCGACAAGAAAAAAAAATGACAACGGGGCAACAAAGAAGTTAATGGGATTATTGATTTCCACACTGAATATGGTCAGACCGATCACAATTAAGGTATAGTATGCAATTGGTTCCACCCCAAAAGAGCAGTAGCTTTGGACACACCGTTTTTGCTTCAAAGATATGATACCTTAAGATTTCCAGGAATATAGGTCCCTAGCTTGAAAAGGTAGTACTTTTTAGGGCAACAGAGAAGGTTGCGCTAGTCTTCCACAGTAAGAATAAGTGTGAATCCCTGTTGGCCAGAGTGCTTCTGCCTCATGGCTAGAGGGGCCCAGATTGAAATAATCCCTGTCAGGTTGCTTCATCTACTATAGCAAGAACATAAATAAGAACCAGAACTAAAAGGATGATACTAAAAGGAAACCTTACTTTGGGGAAATCTAAAAAGAGTGATATAGAAATAGAGGTAGAACTCCCAGATCGACTTTACATAAGTTTAGGAGAAGCAGAGGAAATGTTAGGCACAGCAGGAAGATGGTATTATGGAAATGGAAACAACAATATTGGTTGAGGAATCTGCAGTTCATGCCATTTTCTTTTTGCTCTGCCCCTATCTAAAGACAACAGATAGAATAACAGAACATCAGTGTTTGAAGGGATCGTGGAGGTCTTGTAGTCCGATTCCCTACTCTAGTGGGAGACCCTACCATCTCAGACAGGTGGCTGTCCAGTTTCTTCTTAAAAACCTTCCGTGATGAAGTACCCACAACTTCTGAAGGCAAGTTGTTCAATCATAAGGAACAGTGGCAATCAGCGGCTTAAAGACACTGGATTTGTCAGCAAGAGAAAGTCAATTCTCCGCATTCCAGCAGTTTGATCCTTAGCACCACATGACAGAGTGAGCTTCCATCATTCACCTCAGAGCTTAGGCCAACCAAGCAGTTCAAAAGCACACAAATGCAAGTAGGTACCACTCTGGTGAGATTAATGGTGGAAGCAAGAAAACAGTGACCCAAATGCGAGGCAAAAACCAGCAGAGAAAAAGGCTCAGATGTTGCTGACCTTCTAACAGAATGCTGTTAGCTGCTTTGTGTGTGGAGCTAGTTCAGCCCCTGTGGTGGTACACGGTGGATAGCATGCAAACACGAACTGAACAAACCAGCAATCTTAGGCAGCCACCTTCTACTCTGTAATAACATTGTAGGTTCCTGGCTTTCATGTACCAATGCCACAAAGTAAATAATAGTAATAATGGATCTTGTAAGTTTCTTACGCTCCAGTGATATCATGGGGTTGTCTTTAAAAATGATTCAGAAACTTTAAATGGCACAACATGCAGCTGTTTAAATATTGGAAGAGCAAGGCAGTAGAGCAAGTAACACTTCTATGGAACCCTAACCCTAACCCTAACATTGAAATAAAATGTATAGTCAACTGGTTAAATTGATACAATAAAAATATTTGGAGGTATGGTATCTGAAGTTGCAATATCAGTTTCAATACATTTCAAATATTGCAGGACAACAATTCAAATTAACAGGGTAGTATCTACAAACATAATTATGTAACATGTACAAATTATAAACAAAACAAGCAAATGTAGCCAAATTGCTTGAAAATCCTTTCTTGCTCCGGGTCAAGAACAGGCAGCTTAAAAAATTATCCTCACCAGCACTTTTGACATTAGCATTATAAATATTATATGCAAGAACAGTTAAAGCTATCCTGTACAAATGCAAAGAAGAGAACCTTGCTGACAATGAGCTCCTGCTTGTGGAGCTGATAGTTAAGAAATTTGGAGAAATAAAAGCCTTAAGTTTGCCTTCCACAACAATTTATTCTGCATGTGAAATTGCAATGAATTCGGGTCTATGTGCCCCTTCTACCCTTTACTATTTAAAAATAAATTTCTGTTTTGTTAAAAAAAAAAACTCTAAAAACACAGACACAGAGAGACCGAAGAAAATTGCTGTATTTTCTTTTGCAATAAAAATTACGGATCACTTGAAAACCCAAATTTGTATTCAGTAGAAAACAACCACCAAAGCTTATTCAAATTTATCTTAGCATCTTGGATGCCAAGGAAACAAGAGGTCACGAATTAACCTCTCTATAAATCTGTACACTACATTGCTTATGGTTTATAATTAGTTCCTTAGGCCTTGACCTCTCCACTTAACTGCTATTGATTATGTCCCTGCATTATAATACATTATCCAGCACATCTTCCATCTTATCTATGTAAAAAGTATCATTACTAAATTTCCAGTAAAACTCTACAACAGCCTGCTCAAAGATCCTCTTTTGGTTAAAACTGAACATTTTCTTCCTTAACCTCTAATGCACATATCTCATAGTGCACAGCTCAGCAAATATTTTGTGCTGGTCATAAGTAAAATTCTGCTAGAATAGGACTGCTGAGCAAGCACCTTACTACCTTGCTGCCTTTAAAACCTGTGAAATGGCTTATTAGTGTGACTTGAGTAATACATTCTGATTACAACCCTATGATCCCTATGCATGCACTTTAAAAAAAAAAAAGTCAAGACTACCATAAACTAAAGTTTGTTGTGAATTACATTTGAGTCCTGGTGGCTTACATGTATACCACTCTGTTTTCTTAAAACTGATTCACATTGCCTTCTTCCAAAAATCTTGATTTTATCACCTAGTATAGATCCCTGGATTTCTCAAATGGCCCCTCATGGGACCATTAGACATGGCCAACTCTGCCTAAATTTGCATATTAACAAATATTAAAGTTTAAGCATTGCACTTGGAGCTGAGGCATGCTGTACTAATTTGCTTTAATTTAATACAAAAAAAAAAGAAGTATTGCTATTGTATACAGATATTCCACTGTTGTTTGTTGTTGGGGGTTGGAATGTCAAAGTTGAAAATAATGAGGAAAATACAATTGGATTGTAGGGCCTAGGAAACAGGAAATGAATCAGGAGAATGACATTAGTTTGTGCAATCCAACAATTTCTTCATTGCTAACGCAATCTTCAAACAACCGAAACCAATGTCTATGTACATGGACATCACCCGAGAAACACATGCAAATAAAATTCACTCCATAATTGGTATAATGAGATGGAAGAATTCATTTGGAACAGCAAAGATATATCTAGTTGCTCACTCTGGAATAGATCATAAATTGCTTTTGTTGAAGTTCCAAGTACACTAATGCAGAAGAACAAGTCACCCAGTTTTAGGCTATCATCTTGAGAATATAGCCACCATTTTAAGGAAACAATCAGAAATAGTTTATGGACCTCAAGGTATGTAGCAATACCAAAGAAGATTTAGCAGAGTGCGCAAGCTCTCATAAATATCTTTAATTTCACATGCTAACAAAATAATGCTTAGGATCATTCAATGCAAATGGGAGTCCCACCTGATAATTGACATACCACTTATTCAAGCTGATTTTAGCAAAAGAAGAAAAAGAGACATTATGGTTGATACACAACTGGATAATGAAAAAAATAATCAAAGAATACCAAAAAGAAGTCAATATGTGCTTCATTGACGAAAGAAATACATTTGATTATGTAGGCCATGGCATGCTGTAGAATGTTCTTAGAAAAATGTGGCAGAACATTACAAAGCAGACTGCCTTTAAATCAACAAGAAAATAAGACAAGCCTTATTCAGTCTTAATGATGAATATGTATAGAGGAATGCAGGATTGGAAGCAAATGAGCAAAGTTTTAAAATTGGAGAAAGAAACATTATTAACCATATATGCTAATTACTACTCTGATAGTAAAAAATTCAAAAATTCGAGTAATTAAAAGAGCATAGTGAAAATGCGGGACTAAAATTAAATATAAAGGTCAAACAAATGACAACAATTACAGGCTTAGGTTTTACTTGTTAACCTAAGAATTATCAGACATTATTGAAAAGGTCTATGTCTTCTGTCTTTTAGGATCAATAAGCACCATTAAGAGAACTAGCAATCAAGAAATACACTAGAGACTAGCACTTGACAGAGTTGCAGTGAAGAACCTGGAAAAGATATTCAAACATCATGATACGTCCATTTCAGGGGTAAAATTCAGCACATTCTGACAGGTTCTGGAGAACCAGTAGCGTAAATTTTGAGTAGTTCAGAGAACCAGCAAATACCACCTCTGGCTGGCCCCAGAGTGGGATGGGAATGGAGATTTTGCAATATCCTGCCCCTGGAGTGGGGTGGGAGTGTAGATTCTGCAGTATCCTTCCCCTGCCACGCCCCCAAGCCACCTCACAGAACCGGTAGTAAAAAAAATGAATTTCACCACTGGTCTATTTGTACAAAGATCAGATGGTAGAGGCAATAGTTTTCCCTGTGATAGTCTATGCTAGAGAAAGTTGGGACTTTGAAGAAGCAGGATAAGAAGAGTTTTGAATTCTGATGTTGGGAAAGACTCCTGAGAATACCATGGACACCAAGAAAACAAGCAAAAAGATCATCAGACAAATCAGACTAGACTTTTCTATTGAAACACAAATGACCAGGCTGAAATTATGCTACATGACCATATTATGTGAAAACCCAGCTCTCTTGAAAAATCCAGAATGCTTGGAAACGTGGAAGGAAAGTAGAGCAACAACCAGCAACAAGGTGAATGGACTTTATTACAATAGTGATGGTTCAACTCTTGGAAAACCAAAGGGTCAGGATAAGGATAGATACTTAATTTGTCATTAAGAGTCAACACTATCTTGATGGCAATCACATACATCAAAGCACACATGATATATAATACTTGAGTATATGATACTTGATAGTACGATAAGATCCAAAGTTGAGCAAAACTTTTAGAGGAAAGGGGAAAGCTGCAGTGGGCTAAGACCAGATTGTGGGCTTGGACAACAATACTTTCTCTGTGGTCTTTACATGGACTAAACTTTATTAATCTGAGTACTATAACCTTCTACATTGTTCCAGAATTAAGTCTTTAGTACACTGCTGTTGGCCTTCCAACAAGTTGTAATGAGTCACTTATTTACTATAAGTGAATAACAATGGAGTAGGATCGTCCTCTTTCTGGCACCCCTCCCAAACATTTTGGGACTGTTATATGGCTAACTGGATATTTTGAAATTGCAGCCCCAACATAGGTGGAAAGTTCCATGCTGAGTAAAGCTAATGTATGCAGTGCTATCTGCTTATAACTGCTAATTTTCACTTAATAATTGTTTATTTTATAGAGATTTTTAAAATATGCCACAGTGGAAAATATGTTGGTAGTCAAGACAGTACAGACACAAGCTTACCCTTTTTTTTTGTAACTATGATGTTCACGTTTACATTTTAATAAGAGCCTCCAATAGCAATCTAATTCCATAAAGCATATTTACCTTCCTTTCAATCACTGCCTCTGTACATGCCTGCAGCATACTTAAATGATGAGCAAAGACCAGAAACTTCAGTTCTTCATTCTCCAGAAGCATTTTAATATAATCCTTTACTGCACCTGCCTAAAATATATAGGCATGTTGGAATCTTATTGTAATTATCGGGAAAAGTAAAGGCAAAGGGACGACAACAAAATACTGAGGTAACTTAAGTTATAAATTAAAACAGCATAAACAAACAATTAACTTCTTTTTTAATCTATGTATGTAATCAAATATAGATTCAGGCTAGGAAAAAGCAAACTATGGCATCTATTGTATTATATACCCTGTTTCCCTGAAAATAAGACCTCCCCAGATAATAAGCCCAATTGGATTTTTGAGCGCATGCGCTAAAATAAACCCTCCCCTGAAAATAAGCACTCTCCGAAAATATTGCAACACAGCAGCAGCCACGAGGTGACCACGCTCGCCGCCTCCTACATCTGAAAAATTATAAGGCTCCCCGAAAATAAAGTCAAGTGCTTATTTCGGGGGTCAAAATAAAATAAGACGCTGTCTTATTTTGGGGGAAACACGGTAACTAGAGAAGTCCAGTTTGATAAAAAGATTATCACTCACAGTTCCTGAAATTAATATTCAAGTGCTGTTATTAAGGATCAAGTAATACTAGTTAAATGTCAGATCATATATTTGTTATCATACAAAACTTTAAGTAAAGTAAAATCAAGTACTTATTACATCTTAAGTATATTTTTGACAATATATATTAAGATGAGGCAGTTTATGGACAAATTAAAAGTAGAATTTAATTTGGAAGCTGTCTCCCACGTTGATCTATTCATAGAAACTTTTGCTGGATCTGGGCATCTTACCGATGGAAAAATATTTCTTTCTGGTTTCAAAATCTTTTTGTTATAAAAATCTGGATGCTTATAATCCGAATACCACTTTATGCAGGAAGAGGTGTCTCTTTTGTTATAAAGAGACACCTCTTCCCCCAGACTGTGCTTAGAAAGGCCTTGAAAACTTGGCTTTTCTTCCAAGCCTTGGCTTGAGTAAACGGTGTGTCTTCTATATTTGGGGAGACAAGACGGTTGAGTTTGCTCCTCCCAGAAGTTTGGGGTTTATCATTTACTGTATTTTGCTGGTATTTTTTAATTATGAACCACTCAAGTTGTTGTAGAGCTGGCCAGCCTTGTAAATGTAAATAAATAAAAAAATAAAATGAATAATCTTTATCGGGCTGAGCGTTAGAGAAAAGCAGAATAGAAATAGCTACTACATTTTAATAACACTCACAAAGCATTTCAGGATTACCTTGGCAATGGCAGTCTGCTTAAACATACGTGTAATTAGACTCATCACTTGGACAAAGTCATCTTTAGTAGAGTCTAAATTTGAAGCCCTCATTAACTTCTCCCACTCTTCAAAGCTAGTATTTAATTCCTGCATAGGAGGAAGCAACATTTGGAGGCAAAAATGTGAAAAGACAAAACAATTACATTGTCTCTGAATCATACCATGTTTTCTCAACAAAGAACAATAGACTCTAACCTTTTTCGGTTAGCAATGTCAATGCATTACGCGGTCATTGATAAATTCCTACCATGTATGGAAATTTACTAAAAGACTGAGAGAAAAATAATAAAATAGGAAGTATAACTCATTCTATTTCAATCATAAACAAAACCATGTTTTTGAACATTTCAAAACTAGAATACTATTTAAATCAAAATCGCTATGTAAATTGTTTCTTAGCACTGCATTTATATTATCTTGCTAAAATACTTCTTTGTATGTGTTACTCAGATAATGTATTATGTGTATTCAGTAATATCACAATATTTTAGAAATGTAAAGAAATCACTATGCACCTTATTGTACTGTGTTTTTTTCTGCGATGTGCATATATATTACTTTTTTTTCTGAACATGCAATATAAATTATACTTATTCAAATATTGGCTATTGGCTATAGTTGCTAGGGCTGTGTGGGCCTTTGGATTTGAGGAGAAAAAGCAGAAAATATGCTTTGGAATGCATGCATAAGGGCACTCATCCAGCACCTGCCAAAGAATTCCTGAAATTAAATAACTGAATTTTCAGCAGCCAGATTATCCTGGGAAAATGCATATTTATTACACTATTTAAAACAGAGCCTCGATCCTTGAGTCCACATTCTATTTATCATCAGCACTTTATCTATCAGAATTTCCACCACAAAATAATATCCCACTGCCGGTAAAGCTGTTTTTAAGTCAGAATAATGTTCTATTTACCCTATATGACCTCGTATTTTACAAGGAACCAGTTAGGTTCCCTATAATAGCAAAACTGAGCAGAACTACTGAACCTATGCAACCCTTCAATGATAACTTTTGGAACATGGCCATGCTTCTGTATACTTCCCAAAGTCATTGTACCTATTGAAATAGATCATGATTGACATATTTCTCACATGTTAATATCATCTTACTTTAGCAGTATTTTTAGGAAGATCAAAATGTATCCGTTGCCTAATTTTAGGTGGCAATTGTGTTAAAACTTCACTTTTCATTCGCCTAATCATTACGTTGCTTAGTAATTCATGCAGTTCATCTAAATTTGAAGCTCCTCTGCAGTCCCACTGTTGTCTTTTACCAAAATATCTGGAACAAGAACAATAAAAATAGAACAGCTAATTTAAAACACCGTACCATTTATTTCTTATTAAATTAGATATATGTTCATATGAGCTTCTTTCCAAAGGAGGTAAATACAATATACCCACGGCATTCATCCAAAACTTAAATATCATTATGTTATGATTCATACTTAAGCAATGTTATAGTTTAATATAGTAGGTGCAAATAGCAGTTTGTTTTGCCTATATATTTTGTTACTAATGGTAATAAAGCTAAGGCGGCTTAGAAAGTCTCGAGTCTGATGGTGTCCCACAGTTCTATGACTCAAGTCAAAGCAATAGAACAGGGATCCCCAACTTCTGGGCTGCAGCCCACTACCGGGCTGCAGCCCATTCGCAACTGGGCTATGTGATGTGGGCTGGTCTGCATGCAGATCAACTCACACGAGCAGCAGAGTTGGGCAAGTTGAGTTGTGCATGAGCGCCACCTGACACTCATGCAAATTGGGCTACGTAGCCGCCCTGCAAATCTTGCAGGGCGCCTAGGCGCCTGTGTGGCCAAGGCCGCCGAGGTAGCCACACTCCTGGTGGAGTGTGCTGTGATGCCCTGGGGCAACAGAAGGTGCTGAATCTCATAGGCCAATGTGATGGCCAGTTTGATCCACCTCCCTATAGCCGAGGAGGACACTCTCTTCCCCAGGGAAGACGGATAAAAGGAAACAAAGAGCGCCTCAGACTTCCTGAAGCCCTCCGTGCGCCTCAGGTAAATGCGCAAGGCACGCCTGACATCCAGCCGGTGCCAAAGGCGCCCCCTATCATGAGACGGGTAATACCACCTCCTGTGATCTGTGGAAAAGGGAATTAACCTTCGGAATAAAGGTCGGATCCAGTCGCAGGACGACCTGATTATTGTGGAATGTACAAAGATCTGACCTGGAGGACAACGCCCCCAGTTCAGAGATGCGACGGGCTGAGGTGACCGCCACAAGGAACACTACCTTAAGAGTTACAAACTTCAGGTCAACTGTCCTCAGAGGTTCGAATGGTGCTCCTGTCATTGCTTGGAGAACCGTAGTGAGGCTTCATGTCAGAAACCTGTGGACAACCGGGGGACGAAGATTCCCTGCGCCCTTCAAAAACCTCTTAATTAACGGGACCTGGGAAAGTGGAAAGAGCCCCTCTCCCCGAGGGTGCCATGTGAGAGCCCCCTATCCAATCCATCTTGGAGGAACTCCGAGACGTGTGGTACCAAAGCCTCGCGAGGATTCTCTCCCGAGACCTGGCACCACTCTGCAAAGATCTGCCAGGTGGAATCATAAATCCTAGTGGTGGAACCCTTGCGTGAAGCCTCAATTGTGGAGATCACCCTCTGTGAAAGTTGGGTGGCCCTTAGGTGCTCCCGCTCAAGCTCCACACGGCTAGCTGTAGCCACTGTGGCTCGGGATGCACCAGGTTCCCGTCTGAGGTCCACATCCCTCCCCGGGATCCTACACGGGTGTAACACTGACAGGCACATTACGTCCGCAAATCAGTAGGGCACTACTAAGATGAGCTCCGCCTTCTCTGATATCACTTTCCGAACTACCCCAGGGAGAAGGGGAAGGGGAGGGAAAGCGTAGAGCAGGCCCTCTGGCTACGGAATCCGAAGCACGTTGACTCCCTCCGTCCCCCGAGCTGGGAACCGAGAGAAGAACCAATCCACCTGAGCATTCTATGGTGTGGCAAACAGGTCTACCTCCGGATGGCCGAACCTGGAGCAGATGTCCTGGAATAGTTTTGGAGAAAGGCTTCATTCCCCGTGGTCAACTGTGGCCCGACTGAGCCAGTCGGCTTGATGGTTGTTCACTCTTGTGATGTGCTCCGCCTTGAGAAATCAAAGATGCCTCTCCGCCCAGGTGCCGAGTGCCATCGCCTTGGTTCGAAGAGCCCTGGAGTGTGTGCCGCCCTGTCGGTTGACGTGGGCCTTTGCCGCTATGTTGTCGGTCAGCATCAAGATGTCTTGATCCCGAACATGGTCCTTGAAGTGCCACAATGCCAAGTGAATCGCTTGCAGTTCCAGCCAATTTATATTGTGTTGGAGGTCCAACCAGTTCCAATGCCCCTGCGCCATCCGGGACTCCAAGAGCGCTCCCCATCTGTACAAGCTGGCATCCGTTGTCAGGATGAGGCGCTCAGGCTCCCTGAACTCGCAGCCCTCGTGTAGTGCTGGGGAGAGCCACTACCTCAACGACAGCTGCACCTGTGGTGTCACTGGAATCTTTTCCTTGGTATTGCTGGAGTTTGACCTGATGTGGAGGAGACGCTACTGGAGCGGCCTCACATGCAGACGAGCCCAAGACACCACGTCTATGCAAGCTGGAGAGCACTACTACAGGAACAAAACGTTGACTTCTAACTTATCTAACTAAGGCTAACAAACTAACTTTACGGTCATGGGACAGGAACACCTTCCCCAGCTTAGAGTCTATGATGGTCCCCATGTGAGGAATCATGGTGGCGGGAATGAGGGAACTCTTATCTAGATTAACCGAAAAACCTAAGTGCTGTAGGGTGAATACCACCAACAAAAGATCCTCCCTCACCCGCTCAAACGATGCTGCTTGGACTAAGAAGTCATCGAGATAGCATTGGAGCCTGACAGGGCGCTCACGGAGGTAAGCCACCACTGCTGCTAGGACCTTAGTGAAGGTTCGAGGCGCCGACGCCAAACCAAACGGTAGGGCTACCTAAATAGGAGAACCTGAGATACTTACGATGGCCAAGGAAGATGGGGATACGGAGGTAAGCCTCTGTCAGGTCGATGGAGGCCATGAAGTCATCGCGCCTGACCTCCACCAAGATGGATTTAAGCGATGCCATCTTGAATCTTCTATAGACTAAGTGAAAATTTAGCAGTTTAAGATCCAGAATCGCCCTCCATCCCCCTGAACTCTTCGGAACGACAAAGAGGTTGGAATAGAAACCTGACCGCTGTAAAAAGGATGGCCATCCAGGAAGGTAGGGATGAAAACGAGGCTTCATAGTAGCTTCTGCCCCAGCCCATGCGGCCTGCAAGAATTGAGGCCCCAAAATGGCCGCTGTAATGGCGTCCTGCCTCTAAAGCCCCAAGGAGCAACTTTTAAATTCCTTACCGGTTGCCTGGAGCAAGCCACACCAAGGGGAGGCTTCCAGGTATCAGATAGAGGCAAAGGGAAGAAGGCAGGGAGAAGGAATTTGCAGGATGGCACTGGATTATTTTTGGAACCAAAAGCAACCTTTCTTTCTTCGGCCAGACAGAGTTGAAACTGAGAACCAGAAGAAAAGAGCACAGAGGCATGGCTTCAAATTAACACTGTCGCGAGGCCAACTGGACATCACAATACCCAATCCTGGCTAATCCTGCAAAATTCCTCCGGAAAAGGTTGGGGATCACTGTAGTAGAATATGTGACAAATCCATGCACTGATATAGAATTGTTTGGAGGTAATCATGGACAGAATGTTTCCAAGCCATCACTATCACAATAAAACCCCCAAAGCACACATCCAGAGGTCTCATCCATGTGAGCAGTATATGAGTTATGAGGGAAAAGGGAGAAATTTTGTTTTGCAAAATTTAGACTTACACACGGGCATTTTGCACTAGGAAGTTATACAACAAATTAACTACAGTTTTTCTAGTATTACCTTGAAGTAATAAAAATAATTTTTTAAAGTTAAGTTTGCAACAGCTCAGTTATTTCCTCACATTTGATAACAAGTAATGCTTATTGTTATAAACAGTACAATAAATATTTTTCTTCAAATTTTTGCATACTGGAACTAACTTCAGTTTGCAAGATTACATCGTGATTTTTCCCCTTTCCATTCAATCACATCTGATTCTCAGAGATTGCCTGGATGAATCTCTGAAGTTTCCCTGGCAAGGTTTTTCAGAAATGGCTTGCCATTGCTTCCTTCTTAGGGTTAAGAGAAAGTGACTGGGCCAAGTTCACTCCAATGGCTTTATGTCTAAAGTGGGAGTAGAACTCAAGTATCCTAGTTTCTAGTCTTATGCCTTAATCATTATACCAAATTGGAACTGTACACCATAAATACATCTATGTATAAAAGAATGAAGAAGTCATTACCTGACATGTGCATTGCAGTATTTTTTTGCATACTCAATCCATGTGCCAAATTTCTGTGGACAAAGTGCTTCTAGTTGCATGAAAAGCTGTTGGAATTACAATAAATATTTTTAAAATGCTCATTGTCAGAAATTCTAACTGAAGCCCATCTTAAGTCCAGCCCATCTCTTACTAAGACTTTAATCAACATAACTTCATCTATTATTGAGGTAAAAATCAATGATACCATGCTTCCCTGTTTTGATTCCCGAAATAATGCTTGGCCTTATTTTCAGGCAGGTCTTATTATTTTGGAGGTGCAGGAGGCTCCTTAACTTTGGCCTGTGGCCTGTGGATCAGCTGATCTGGAGAGGGCTGGAAGTTCTGTCCATTTCTGACATACTCTTGCCAGCACTAGCGTCGCTGGGCCTGCCGCTCTTTTTGCGGCCACCACTAAGAGAAGGGGTGCAGTAGCTAGGATTTGCAGGAGCAGCCTCCATGAGGCCGTTCCGCATGAATGGCAGGTGCATGTCGGGCATGTTCGTCCCTTCCCCCAGGAAATGGCGGGGACCAGCTGCGCATGAGTTTAAATATTTTAGGGGAGGGCTTATTTTAGCGCATGCACTCAAAAGCCCGATTGGGCTTATTATCCGGGAAGGTCTTATTTTCGGGAAAATAGGGTACTTCCCAAATAGCATCAGTAATGTTATTGATGCAGGTACTAAGGTGCGTTATTAAAGCTGCATCTTTACTCCAAAAATCATTTTAACAATTCAAATTAAATCAGATTTCTCCACTCTTCTCTCCTCTATTTTTTTCCCATCACTTTCCAGCATGCATCAACTCTTGGATGCCAAAACATATGCGGTAATTATGATTGAATATACCATTATTAGAAACCAGACATCTGAAATAACAACCCTATGTTTACCACCAGAGTGCGAAAGGGAATTTGAACATGCAAGGGATGGAGAAGCATGTACACCCAAAGCACATCCTCATCTTCCCATAATTGTTTCACCATGGCATTTCATAGGTTTTGAACATGGTTTCAGAACCTCTTCAGGTCTTCCTAAAGCAGGAGTTCCGGTGAGGAGAATAGCTCGAATAGCATTCTGTACAATAGGCAGCAAAATCTTGCTACGAACTGCATTCCTGGATTTCATGTAATGGGACTCATCAATTATTACTACTTTGAATTTCTGCTTGCATAAAGTATCTATTAAAACATGAGCATCTGACGTTAAGAGGCCATAACCCAGGATAGTCACTTTGCTTTTAGGTATTTGCCTAGAAAATGAAAAGAACAAAAAGAAAATAGTGACTAAACTATGTTCATATTAATCATCATAGCATATCCTATTGCTTGAATATATGTCTCATGCATAACTTCATTTATATTTAAACATGTTTAGACTATCAACTCAAAGCGCTTCAGAAAATTTACAAGTATAAAAAAAGTTGCTATTAAAAATCTTAAGTGACAAGTGCTTCTTTCAAAGGTTCTTAAATGACCAATATTATTAATCTCTTTAAGGTCAGGGGTGGTTGCTACACTAAGGCATAAGATGGTTTGTTCACAAGCATCTTGTTTCAAATATCCCACTAATTTCTTTAAAACAAAATTTAGTAAATTAGATCCATTCATCCTATGGCAGTGATTGCGAACCTACGGCACACATGCTGGAAGTGGCATGCAGAGCCATCTCTCCAGGCATGCCAGCCGTTGCCCATTGCTCTTCTGGGGTCCAGTGCTGGTATTCGTGCACAGGAGCTCTGGAAACAGGAAAAGCAGTTCCCTGGTGTGCATGCGTGTGCCGGAAAGCTGAGCTTCTGGTTTCCGGCGCACACATGTGCACCGGCCAGCTGGTCTTCACACATACATGTGTGCCAAAAACCAGAAGACCAGGTGACTGGTGCATAGGCGCACACTGGAAACTGGAAGGTCTGCTTCCCGGTGTGCACATGCTTGCCAGGGAACTGCTCTTCCGGTTTCTGGTGCTCCCATGCATGGGTGCTGGGGAGCTATTCTTCCAGTTTCCGGCACTCCCCCACGTGCATGTGTGCACTACCATTTCAGTACTTGGTGCTGAAAAGGTTCGCCAACACTGTCCTATGATGAACAGAATAAATAGTTACCAAGGTGATCATCATAAAGAGCTATTTTTGAATAGTAAAAAAAAACATTTATTTTAGCCAGTGAGACTGCAAAGTCTCCAGATTACGTGTGAGTCACTTTAGCTGTGAGAGTTGAAATTAACTGGAAAGCTCGGAGGGCAGCAGTATCTAGGACAGTGCTGCATCAGCTTCCCCTCATGTGCTAGTGGTCCCAAAGGGATGGCTAGAGTTCGAATATTTAAAACACAGAACTCTTATTTGGGAAGCAAAGAAATTCATTGTGTGTCTGTAGAAACCGGAGCCTTCAACTCATTACCTACAGCAGCATACATTCTTAAACACAAAGCATTGCCCAGTCCTTTTAAGTCTTTGAAAATCAACATAGTAAGGAATGAAAGCAAATATTGAAAAGGTTTTTTTTAATTGCATGATATAATTAATACCAATCATACAAACATGAGCCTCCTGTCTTCCTCCTCTCACCTAATAACTGCCACTTCTGGCAAGGAATGGTTTCCACTTGCTTTTTTTAGATCAACCATTCAAATCATAGTCTAACTGTTTGGCTCATCTCTTTTAAAAACTTGAGAAAAAATATTCGCATTGGGAAACTGTATGATGTAACTGTATGATATAACCCCAATCAGGGCCTCAAAAACAAGGGGAGCAAAAATAACACAGCTCTTATTCTGTCTTCCAGCTTATTATGTCGTTTTTCTATTAGCGCTCCAGCATTGGAAAGCAGTTTATTAATTCCAATTCTTCAAAACAAATGTCAGTTTTTCCATTTTCTGCTGTAAGAGCCCGAGATTGTACGTACCCTGTCCTGTCTAACAAGAAAGGAGATTAAACCATCTGGTACCCACTTTAAAAATAATGCCATTGCTAATATATCACTCACCAAATGTCAGTTTTATTTTGTACAATGATGATATCCTCTGGACAGAGGTCCGGAATCCATTTTTCCATTTCATCAACCCAAGGGTACCTCAGGGATGAGGGCACCACTATTAACAGAGGCCATTCATTTTTATAGTGGTATGATACAGCTATTGCTTGGATAGTCTTCCCCAAACCCATCTAAAATGCAATCAATTGAAAGGAGAAAAATATACTTTTTGTGATAGCTTTTCATCTATAGCATAACTAGATACAGATATACTAGGGTTGTTACAAGTGCAACAGTAGCTGACCAATCTATCAGTATAAAATAATTGTGAAGTAATCACATTTTCTACTTGAACACATGAATACCAAAAATTACATTTGTCCCTTAGCACTCTAGTCATTAAGCTTGGGACATTTCTTTGGAGCTTTACACTGAACAACTGTGTTTTCACCATCTTAAATAAATTTTGTGTCATCTGCAAATTTGACATCACTTGATATGCCTAATTTTAAACTGTTGAAAAACTGGTAAAATTACAATGAACCTAAATCTGATCCTTGGGCCACACTTATCTCCCTTTATTGTGAAAATTATCCATTTATTTCTACCCTTTGTTTATTGTTGCTCAACCAGTTGCCAATCACTCAGAAGATTCTCCTGCAATTCTATGACTGTTTAACTGGATATAAGTCATTGAATACAAGATAGGCAGAAAATAAGTTATAAACAAACAAACAAACATGCTAGCATGTAATTAAAAGACTGCATACATATATTCAGTTATAAATAGAGTTCTTTTGTCATCTTCATTCACACTATTTCTCTAAAACTAAATCAGTGTAATTGTAAATGTGGTAATTGAGTGATAATGAATATATTCATGAATATTTCTCCAGCGAAATGGACCGTTCCTTACACAATATGTGTGTAGCTACCAAAATCAACAAAATAAGTGTGCATTCAACTGGAGGCGTCAAAATTGTTAATAAAGCAGCATGCCCATTCTTCTCCAAATTATTTGTTTATTTAATTTATATGCTACCCATCTTGCCCAGAGAATACTCTGGGTGGTTTACAAACATTATAACTACTACACACAAAAATAATAAAGCAAAATATAACAGCAGTAATAAATACTGTTAAAAGATAGGAAGGGAGGGAACACAAAGTATACAGGGAGGGGCGTAGTCTTTCCTAATCCAACAACCACCTTCGGAGTGGTGCACCTCCATTGGGGTCCCAGGCCAACTGGCAGAGCCAGGTCTTCAGGCCCTTATGGAAAGTCAAAAGGGTGGGTGCAGATCTCATGTTGGGGGTACGATGTTCCAAAGGACAGGAATGGTTCTCCTGGACTCCATCAGCCAAACTTCCTTGACTGATAGGGTCTGCATCATGCCTCTTCTGCTGGCAAGGGTGAGATAGGCTAATTCCACTGGAGCAAGACAGTTCTTCAGATAACTAGACACATGCCTCGAAGGGCATTAAAGATAATAACCAACACCTTGAACTGCACCCAGAAGCAAATCAGCAGTCAATGCAGTTTGCGAAATAACAGTATAACATGGGCCACCCAGGAGTCTCAAGAACTGCCTGTACCCAAATTATGGCATTATTGTTATTAGTTTATTAAATTTGTTATAGCAACCACATTCCAAAATATTCTTGGGCAGGCACCACTATTATTAGTAGTAAGGTAAGCTTTGGAAAGGATTTCAGAATTTTATCTTGAGTTTAAGGCATCTGTCGCAGGTTGTTTTCTCAACTAAAAATAACCAGATTGACCCAGATTCAATAGAGACACAAAGCACTGGAAACTTGGTTTTCTTGTATCTCTCTTAAATGGCTGGGGGAGACTTTTAGTTTATAAAACAAGGAAAACTTACAAAAAAAGGAAATGATAAGTGCCTTCAACTATATCAGAAGCCAGTATCTTATAACTAAAATTATATTTTATTTTAATTATTTTCTAATCTAGACTATATCTATATTCTTTAAAATCCAGTTTTGCCCTATTTTCATATCTTCCTACTCTATATCTCTAATACACAGATAGTCCTCACTTAGAGACTAATTGGGATCCACAATTCCATTGCTAAGCAAAATGAACGTGATCTCCCTACAACAGCAGTCTTAGTTGCACATGTTAAGAGAATCACATGTAGCCATTAAGCATCATGGAATTGTGATTTGCCACCTCTTACCAGCATCCCAATTGACTTTGCTTGTTGGAAGCAAGTTGCAAAGGTCATAATGGCAATCATCGTGCAGATCACTGTGACTATTGTAAATGTGCAATAGTTGCCAAGCAACCAAATCACTATGTAACCATGGGGATGATAGTCATAAGTGCAATGTAACCATGGGGATGACCGTCGTAAGTGCATTTTTCAGTGCAATCGTAACTTTCAACAGTGGTTGACAAATCGTCATTAAAAGAGAACCACTTCTATATGTTTATTTCTGTCCTCTATATATCTTTTATCTTAAGAAATTATTTCTGGCTTTAGCATTTGCAGGTGATACTGAACTGTGCATTTCAGCAGAACTGTATAGTTCAGTATAATCAATCAAGATTAAGGCATTGATAGATTAAGAAAATTCAAATACAGTTCTTACAGCATCAGAGATAGGTGAGTCAAAACACTGGTGAGGAGAAAATGTCATGGCATTTTCATTAAGGGATTGCTTTCATTGGGCAAGTTTTATAGCCCTTCAACATCTCTCCCTTCCACTCTATCCCCATGTTTGTTTAGTATAGCTATTAATACAGGAAAGTTACATGTTGGTAAGGACTATCTTCGTCATTAAGCATCTAGCACAGATGCCCAACCTGTAGCCCACATGTGGCCTTGGACAGCTAGTAATGCAGCTCCACAAGATAATAGTAAAAAATATTTAAAATAAAGGAAGTTTGTTATTTATGTATATTTTATATGTGGCCCAAGACAATTTCTCTTCACTCAATGTAGCCCAGGCAAGCCAAAAGTTTGGACAACCATGATCTAGCACAGTGATGGCTAACCTTTTTGTTATTGCATGCCGAAAGTGCGTGCATGCATGCACAATAGCGCACACTTGGAATTCGTGTGAGACCTCCATCCCCGCATGCCCCTCCCCAAGTGCGTGCACGCATGACCTCCCCGTGTGCCCCCATGCCACATTTTGGGTCTGGAAGGCCTCCTGTATCAACCTAGAAGCCAAAACAAGCGTGAAGTCCCAAAATGCAATGTGATGAGCATGCGCCCTACTCCCACATATGCACACGCACGTACCCCACATGCGTGGCAGAGACCCGAAGACCAGCTGGCTGGTGGGAGGTGTGTGCGCATGTGCAGTGGAACTGGGCTGGGGTAACGGCTGGCATGCCCACAGAGAGGGTTCTGCGTGCCACCTGTGCCATAGGTTGGCCATCCTGGGTGTAGCAGATATGGGGTGCCAAGTTAAACAAAACCAGGAATTAATTATTTAACTGGG